TTAAAAAGAAAAAAAAAAATACGAGAAACAAACGTTCATATATCACTGTTAGAAAATTTCGAGGAAAAAAAAGAAAACAATTTGAAAATCACGTTAATTATTTTACAATCGTACATTCGTTAACATAAGATCAAAAATTTTTCACAGATATTATCGAACAACGGATTCACCGCCGATATTAGCGACCGAGAAATGCGTCGAAAAAACCGATCAGGCAGCGACTCGATTTTGGGCCGAGATATTTGGGACTATTCATATCGGCACTGCTTTCATCACAGCATTTATTCTACAATTAGTACGATTTATACTTTATAGTATAATTCGACCATTGACTGTGGGCATTTTGCAACTGTTAGCGGACTATTTTATAAAACCCCTATTGTCGATTGTGTTCAATGCCCTGATACAGCCTGTACTGATACTGTTATACAATATTGCAACGTCTTGCAAGGATCTTTGCGAGCCTATCGCAGAAGCAGTAGGGCTATTCTTACGAGAGATTGCTCACGTTTGCGCGGCGATTCGGGTCGTCGAGGTGAAACAGGGTACCGCTCCCTCGGTTGCTTGCACTTGATGATCGAATAGAAGGAAACACGGGTTCTTACAATGACCAGCAAGGGAATATGCTTTGTTGAGGGAATAAGGTACAAAACTCATAATTCTTCCTCGTGACTTGTAAAAAAATAGCACCATGTAAACGCTGACTTAGGTTGTTACTTCGGAATTACTGTTTCCAAGCTATTTTAACTTTTACTATACCTCTACCTTGTACTATATCTGTTTCTCATTGTTTAAGAGGTGAAAGAAAGGAATTCTATTATATCTAGATGATTGACTTTTATCTTGATATTTAGATGACTATGAAAAGGAATCGAAGTAAAACTGAACAATGATTGAATAGAGCAAAACAGTATTAAACCTTTAAGGTCCAAGTACATTTGCTGCAACAAAGGCCTTCTCATTAGGCATTAGTCGTTTAGAATTTTCTTCGAGGCCATACTTAAGAAACATTGTTTTCTCTTGAACTTGAGCATGATTTTAAAAATTCATTAGCTACTGCGTCGATTTAGAGAAGCATTTTACTGGACCTTAAAGAATTAAAAAATAACTAAATCCTTTTATCGTATATACATATATATATAAAAAAAAAAAAAAACAAAAACAGATCAATATAAAGCGTAATTTGTGCGTATGAATGGTACTTTTCTTGCCAAGCAAGTCGTAAATTTCATCCGTTGTTCTTCTGTTGCAGATGACGATAAATTATCTCTCGATCACCGATTCGAAAAGGCATTGTCCCAGGACACAATGATGCAAACTGAAGAAGATTCGGAAACAGCTCGACAGCGACTGTTCGAGTTTCAACGAATATAACACATGTCTTAACACCAGGTATATATTTGGTATTATTTAAACTTTACAATATTATTATCAGTTTCATTCATTTTGTTATTTTTTGTTTTTTTTTTCTTTCTTCCTTTTCTTTTTTTTTTTTTTTGTTTTTACAGAACAAATTATCCTCTTATAGCAACTAACTTTGTCAATAATAATCAATAATCATCCTTCGTCTCTTTCGTATATCTTACTGTTTAATAAATTATGTACAATCTCACAAACAACAAACGGAGGAACCTAATTACATCATGTAGTTGTTCACACTTCGCTATGTACAGGTACTACTGGTTTTTACAGAATTGCGCTTTCGCTCCACCTGCGTATGTAGTCGTTAATGCTTAAACTCTGTCGTTCGCATATTCTATTTAAAAAACAGAATAGAAAAGAGAAAGAGAGAAGAGGAAACGAGAAATTGAAATAGAAAGAGAAAGAAAAAAAGAGAGAGACAGAGAAAAGAGAGGAGAAAAAAAGAAA